GGCTCGACTAGGTGAGGAACGAAGGAGAGAGATCCCTCCCCTTTAAATAGGAGGAGGCGAGCCTCTATTAAGGGAAATAAATTTTAATTTTCATATTTATAAATTATTTCCATTTAATATACTACCAAATATGATATCATCATATTTGGAATACTTACTAGTTATTTCCTTAATTCATATCAACAAACAAGGAAGTAGATTAGGATTTCCTTAAATTATAATAACAAGTAAGGAAAGAAAATCAATTCCTAACTTAAATATTTGATGTGATTACAGCCTGGCCGCCCTCGGCATCCAGCTCAGCCGACCGAAGACTCCCGACATCGACCCGTAAACCAGGCTGTGCTGACTCATTAGCCACGGCACATCAGTTCACCAACAACACTAAGAGCGGATGATCCTCTATTGACACTATCTCCATCATATGGATGGGTGTATAACACACTAGTCTATCTTATTATCCCGATATCTCTCTCAAGTAACATATGATTAAGAATATTTAGGATCTATGTTTAAAGGCGGATTGATCTCATTATCATAATATCATCAAGATCCAATTCCTATTGTACAAATCCAAGGACATCACAATATATTCATCATCCAATATAAAGTAATAAAATATCATGATATTAATAATAACTAAAAAGACTGTGCAGCTCGTCACATATGCTATTACTTATGTGATTATCTTGTAGGGCACTTGTAACTAGCAATGACAACTCAATCCAAAAATAATATCTTTAAACCATATCAATTTTTTGATCTCTATACCACCACAAGCTACCCTGCTGAGTCTATGAAACCCTTAAGTTTCACTAAAGTTCAAAAATTACTCCACTAGCATAAAACCATATATGACGAATATGATATTTTAGTATGTAATACTGCATGGACTCTTGTACCATTCAATCATACACAAAATGATATCAAGTGTAAGTGAACCTTTCAAATTAGGTAGAACCCTAATAAATCCATTGCTAGATACAAAGCACGAGGTTTACTAAATTTTGAGCATTGACTTTACATAAACCTTCGGTCCTATTATTAAATCTATGATAATTTGACTTATCCTGAATTTAGCCGTCACTCAATGTTGGTAGTTACGATGATCGAATGTTAATAATGCTATTTTGTATGGTACTTTGACTCATAATATCTTTATCCAATAATTTCTTTGTTTCATTCATCTTTAACATCCTAACCATATATGTAAACTATAGAAAGCTATATATGGATTTTGCTAAGCTCCAAGAGTATGATATAATGAACTTAGCTCATATTTGATGTCAACCGATTTTGTTAATTTCAAATTTGATAACTCCTTATTCCTAAAATAACAAAAGGGTTGTACCACATATTTATTAGTCTATATAGATGACATCATCATCATAGTCAATAACTCCATTGAGATTAATTACTTTTTTAAACAACTAGTGGATCGATTCTCCATTAAAGATTTAGAGCTACTAAGCTAGTTTTTGGGTATAGAGGGTGGCTTTACATCTACTAGTCTTTTTCTTTCTTAAAAAAAATATATTTAAGATCTCGTATTGAAGATAAATATGTGAAATACTAAAGAAGTTGTCACCCCACCTTCTTTCATTGAGTCACTCAAACTACATGATAGTTGTCTTGCTACGGATTCCAAATACTTAGCTCCTTATAGTACTTATCACTTACTCGTCTAGACATCTAATTTGGAATCAATAAATTATCACAGTTTATGCATCAATCCTTTATAACTCATTTGACTATAATGAAGAGTATCCTATGATTCCTTCAAGAAATCTTCAATCATAATCTTCTTCTTCGAAAATAATCATTCTCTTATTTTTATGCATTTGTTAATGTTGATTGGGTAGGTAACACCAATGATAGAATATCAACATCGATGTATATTGTATTTCTCAATATAAATCCTATCAGTTGGAGTTTTAAGAAATAAAAATAATTACATATTCTACCACGATTGCCAAGTATCATATCATTCCCACCACTGCTACAAAACTCCAATATGACATTTCATTCTTGTATGAAGTACATTGTTATCGACTTTCATATTAGCTACATATATCTCATATCCATACTTTTGAGTAATTAATAGACTCTCTCATAAAGCTACTTAATTACTTACAAGGTGTTTCACTCACATCATTCAAAAAATAACATTCATGATGGAAGTTCAATCTTATAAGAGACTGATAGAAAATGAGTCACAAATTAGACATTAAATGGTTAATAGATTGTGATCTTAATATACTTATTGTTTGTATCTGCATCGTATTAATCATCTCATGATTCAAAGGCAATCACCTTGATTCATAAGCATGATTGGAGAACAATCAAATCCTCCTCAACCTGTATAAATATATAATATATGTAACTTCATGAATCAAGCGAATACAAAAAGTCATTTTTACTATAATCCTTCACTTAAGATCACATGGCCATGGGCTTTTTTTTTTTTTTTTTTTTTCTCATGGAGCATTTATCTTCTTAAGATCCACATGACCTTTTTACGTCCTTGTTACCTGATTCGACCCTTTTCCTCTTGCCCTCTCCTTCATGCCCTTGCCACTCGACTTGACCCCTCAAACGAGTAGTGTTCTCTTGCTCGCCCTCCTCCACTTGCACTCAAAGCAACACGCTCTAAAAGAAAGGCTTGGAGCCTTCAAAGGAAGGGAATACATCATCAGAGGAACTCCTCTAGAGGAATGGAAGGGGTGAAACTCCTTCCTTCCTCTATTCCTAGATTGACTGAATCGTGAGGGATGGACCTCCTCATTTGAGTGGGCATTGTCGATGTTATCTTCGCCAAAGGAGGAACTTTTAGAGGAAGGGAAGGGTCAAAATTCCTTCCTATTGAGAAATGAGATTGAGTTAGGCTTAAAGGCATGAAGAACTGAGTGGATCAAGGGCGAGGGCATGATGGGGTGAGGCGACGGGCAGTGTTAAAGATGATTAATAAGAGGTAAAGACGATGAACAATGAGTCAAAGATGATCATGACAATTAAGGATAACATCATCTTTTAAAACATTAAAATGAGCGTTCTAAGAGAAAAAAATATATATATAATTTTTTTAATAAATTTATTCTAAAAATAAAAAATTTTGTTACGATATACAAAAATGCTTGATGAGACCACACAACAAAACATTAACCATTCATGTAGTCGTCACAACCTCCATAGTACGTTTTAGAATATAATTCTTATACTATTTCACCGAGCACTTCAACTCACATGACCTCATCAAAGACGTTCTAGATAAAACTAATTTTGGAGATAATGATTGTCAATTAATCATGTTGTGACCACCAATCTTTCCATCCATCATCTCGTTCTTACTACCTTCATCTTTACGTGAGGCCTCATCTCCTTGTCACTCACGCCACATCCGCAACAAAGCTCGTCAGAAGATTCAACTCCCTAGATAACATTATGCAAAGCAATTACCCACGGAGCAAACCTCGATCGATGCCGACATCATATAACAACAATAATAATAACGATATCTCCCTTCCGACGAGTGATGTCACAATCTAATTAATATACCATCTGACCGATAATGTGCAAGTCATACGCAAGGTTGACCAGTCAACCAAAACGATATTTTCTTTTGCCTTCTTCTTCCGTCCTCCATCAATTGATGCACCATCAACCGTGGATCCAAGATTTTGCTGAGATATTCTTTTTCATTTAAGAGAACATTTCACACTAATCAAATCGTAACACGTGGCATATGAGTTCAGAAAACCTCTATATATACATAAAAATAAAAACATGGCATATGAGTTCGGTAAGCTAGAGCTCATGCCTACCCGATCCATACTCTCATGGTTTATTATCATTAAGCATGGGAAAAAAGGCATTGAGCTTATGCAGACTATTGGCATGTTTCCTGCCATCTTAAACTTGTGAAAATAAATGATTAATTATTACCTAAACAGTCATCACCCTCTCGTTCATATTAGTATATATCAGTCTCACTTGGTCTATGTATAAAGTCCATTAATCGTTGGCTTGCATCATCTTCTTCTACTTGGATCCATATGTCAAGCACTTCCTACTTTAAATTAATGTGGTGAACAAAGAATAGTCACCTGATCACGTTGCCACCACTTATTTCCCCACCCATCTCTTTCCCACTTTTGCCAAGTCTTTGGTGCGAGGCCTCATCTTCTCCGTCAGTCAAGTCACAGCCCCATCAGAAGGTACTGCCACTGAGGTCACACACAGAACAATCCACCATGGATGCAAACATCAGAGAGCAACGACACCTACCTCTCAATCATTGACCAAGCTTTGGGTTTTAGGTTGTTGATACAGTCCAATTATACAAACGTATTTATTGGGTGGTCCCACTCATGACTTAGATGATGGAACCTTTGAAGGTTAATTAAATATAATCTTAATTTTATATGATTTGGATGGAAAAAATTAAAATGATGACCATCACATATTTTCATATAAGGAGAAGAAAAATTCAACAATTGATTAATGAAATTAGTTTCGATTATCATAGTTTTATGATATACTTGATATTTTTTATTTTGTTTAATTTTTCTTTCTAGTGTCTTGATTCATAGGTTTTATATAATATTTAATATTCTCTGGTTAATCCATGTAAATTTTATAATCTTATGGTTTTATAGTGGAAGATTATCCTTCACACAAAAAAAGATTTTTTCACATAAATTATTCTATCACTAATCTATTTGACCTGTACTATTAGATTGTTTACTATATATTTGGTATTAAATTATATAAAGAAAAAAAAGTAAATTATATTATTATTATTATTATTATTATTATTATTATTATTATTATTATTATTATTATTATTACTCAGTGAGAATGAGATAGGTGAATGTCATGCGTTCATGTCATACGAGTAAAGAACATTTTGTTTATATTGACGAGATTTTTATTGTAGCTCTTCTTTTAAGTGGCTGAGCTACGCGTGCCCACACACTCGCTTGGTTGACTAGTCAACCGAAATGACTTTTGTCTTCCTTATACCAGCAGTCGCAGGTGCCATCTGCAAGTTCATCGTCCTCCCTTCCACCATGGCCACCTCCGGATCCATCTCCCTCCTCTGCCTTCTTGTCGTCCTCTGCTTCTCTTCTTCTCCTGCGATGGCCCAGCCGTTGTACCAAGTTTGCGACAATACTGGCAACTACACCGCCAACAGCACCTACAAATCCAACCTCGACCTCCTCCTCTCCTCCCTCGCCTCAAACGGCTCCCTTTCCGGCTTCTACAACGGCACGGCCGGACAATCCCCTGACCAGGTCTCCGGCATCATTCTCTGCCGCGGCGACGTCGCCACCGCCGACTGTAGCTCCTGCCTCGCTACCGCCGGTCAAGTCCTCCTCCAGCTCTGCCCCAACAAGAGGGGCGCCACCGTCTGGTATGACGACTGCCTCGTCCGTTACTCCAACAACCAGTCCTTCTTCTCCTCCACCGACAACTCCCCCATGGCGTACTTGGTGAATGAGAAGGACATACCCGAAGTGAGTCGGTTCGACAAGCTGGTGAGTGAGTTGATGAGCGGGATAGCGGACCAGGCGGCGGCGAGCAACGGCTCCTCGAAGAAGTTCGCTACCGGGACGATGAGCAACTTCACGTCAGAGGTTCCGATCATCTACGGGCTGGTGCAGTGCACCCCAGACCTGTCAAGGAGTCGGTGCAGGCAGTGCTTGCAGAAGCTGTTCGACGTGATACCGAACCTGTTCGAGGGGAAGCAGGGCGCGAGGGCGGTGGGCGTGAGGTGCAACATGAGGTACGAGGTGTACTCCTTCTACCAAAGCACCCCGACGCTGATACTTACTGCTCCGCCGGCCTCTGGTGGCAGTGGAGGATCAGGTCAGCCATTAATTCCTAGCAATATGCATCGTATATATTGTTGTATGTATATTCCTGCTATGTCTACTTAAATATATTCCTCCAAATATTGTTGTTAATATCATCATCAAAAACTAATAAGCTATAGCTCAAATTAAAGGAATAAATATAAAAATCTATGGCAAAAAATAAATATAAAATTAATATAATCTATTGCTTAGAGTTTTTGTGGTTTTTATGTGGGATAACACCCGATCTGAGGTCTCCTATTCCTACTACAATCTTACATTTATCAGACCGGTGGGATTCACAGGATCATACTTCTGGAAGACAGGACAGGAAGTCCACATCCTGTCGTTTTTCACAGAAGCAACATAAGACCGAGAACAGTAGAAAATTTCATCGAGTCCTATAAATCTCACACCACAAGCATCAGCCTGTATGACTCTGTGAGGCATTCTTCGGACAACTGCACCGAAATGAATCATCCACGTAGCAGTAAGAGTCGAAACAGGGCAGATGACTCTGTTCTGCTGTCCTCCTCACAAAGTCGCCACTGCCGCCAGTTTTTTCTTGGCACAGAGGTCGCCACTGCGTTTGGTGTCACATTATTAATGTTTGTGACAACATCACCACTGCGGTCATTGGACCGAGAAAAGGAGATGCACGACAAAGGAAACCGCAAGACGAGTTTGACTTCTCCACTCTCTCATCTTCCCATCTGATGCTCGTATGAATGATTAGATGTGAAGATATATACAGTATCATATAATTAATAGGTCAAGAACATTAATTTTTTTACTTCTTCTGGGATAAGTAATACCATAAATGAAGGAAATTACAAATTCTACTGGGCACATAAGTGCGTTCCTCAGATTAGGGATAGATTCCATGTACTATGTTTTCATTGATAATTTGGAGAATAAGTGAGGAAATATCAGTCTATTCTAACTAATTTAGCTAGACTTTTTTATCCTTTGTTAATTTTATTTTATTTTCACTTATTGTTGCAGCATATGAGTTGACAAGATTTGCTTATTCTCGAAATACATAAGCCAAAAAAAAAAAGATTGCCAACAGAGACTCATGGAATTACACATCTCGATGCAGGAAAAAAGAAGAAGAATTCAACAGGGACTATTCTTGCAATTGTGATACCTGTGGCGACTGCAGTGCTACTGATCTCCATCGTTTGTATTTGCTTCTGGAGGAGGAAGTCAGCTAAAAAACCTTCCTGTAAGCTGAGACTGAAAGCAATTTTTTGCCACATGTTATTGCTATTCCAAAATTCCAGTTTCTTTTCTACCATTTTGGTTAGGCGGATACAATTTAGCCTGACCAAGGAAGGAAGAGAAACATCGAATGATGTTACTGTATCAAAACATGATTTACCTATGTCTGTTAATTTAAGTGAACACAAACGAAACAGCAATAACTTTGTATAGATTGAATGCGTGTGCTCTTTGTATAGATGAGACTGACCCGGAGAAGATCACAAGTGTGGAGTCCTTACTATTTGATCTATCTACATTACGAATAGCAACATGCAACTTCTCGGATGAGAATAAACTTGGAGAAGGTGGCTTTGGTGCAGTTTACAAGGTATTATACAAGTCTATTACATTGCAATGTCACATGCACTATACTTTTTCTTGTGATCATGATCTCATTTTCTTGTGCAGGGACTGCTGCCTGATGGACGAGAAATCGCGGTCAAGAAGCTTTTAGCTTCTGAACAAGGGCTTGGGGAGCTGAAAAATGAGCTTGTTTTGGTTGCTAAGCTCCAGCACCGGAATCTCGTAAGACTTTTGGGCGTTTGCTTTGAAGAAGAGAAGATGCTGGTATATGAATACGTTCCTAATGGAAGCCTCGACAAACTTATGTTTGGTGATTCTTCTTCTTCTTCTTCTTCTTCTTCTTCTTCTTGGATCAAACGTACTCTTGCTTTGTGCATGGCTGCATGCCGTATTCATACGTTCCTTTTTGAATTGGTAAATTCAATCATCTGTGTTCATCCATTAGATGCTGAGAAACGGGAGCGGTTACACTGGGGAACCCGATACAAGATCATCGGTGGAATCGCGCGAGGCCTGCTATACCTACACGAAGAATCCCAGCACAAAATCATACATCGGGATCTAAAAGCCAGCAACGTTCTGCTGGATTCAGACATGAGCCCTAAGATCACAGATTTCGGTTTAGCGAAGCTTTTCGGCGGAGACCAGACACAGGGCACCACAAGTCGAATCGTGGGAACATTGTGAGTAGGACTCAGTATGATCTTCTCTCATACAAATAGGTTTGCTTATTAGTCTTCCTAAGGTACTTTTTGATTTCGTTGCAGTGGGTATATGGCACCGGAGTATGCCATGCACGGCCACTTCTCAGCCAAGTCAGATGTATTCAGCTTCGGTGTTCTGGTTCTGGAGATTTTGACAGGGAGGAAGAACACCGGTTCCTACGACTCTGCCAACTCGGAAGACCTTCTAAGCTATGTGAGTATGGAAGTGCATTCGTAAGCCCGATACATATGTGGGTACTGATACAATCCCATACTGACATCGATCATCTTGGTCTCTCTGAAACAGGCATGGGAGAGGTGGACCGCAGGAAGAGGCTTTGAGATATTAGACCCAGTTCTGGGCATCCAGTTCCCGAGTAGTGACGTGTTGAAATGCATCAAGGTCGGACTGCTGTGTGTTCAGGAGAATCCAGTTGACAGACCCAAGATGTCCACAGTCAATGTGATGCTGAACAGTGACAGTGTGTCTCTCCCAGCTCCATCACGGCCTGCATTCTGTGTGGGGAAGAGCAGCATGGACCCAAACTCGAACAAATCGATTCTCGGTACAAAAAACCAAACAACTCAGTCTGTAACAATGTCACCAAATGAAGTTTCCATTTCAGAATTAGAACCGAGATAAAGAGTAGCCAGTGATGGATGACCTTATAGTTTTGCTTATGGATGCTAAGATACTTTGGCACTGTAATAATTTATCGACTCACTGCTGCTTGCTGTATTATTTATATGTAAACCTACTTTTTATCTTGTGTGAGTGTGTGTGTACGTACATATAGGTTTCCATTTACCAACCAAAGGTATATGCTCATCTACGTTAACACAACATGCAGAAAAGTCAACTCCGTTGACAACCGTTTACTTTTTCTTGGGAAAGATGAGGAGAGAGGACTTGGTTGGGTAATTTGTTTTTCCACTTCGATCGGTTTCGGAGAACGGAGTTGCTTTACAGAAAGAAAATTCTAATCGGCACCGCAACAACAGAGCAAAGATATGGATCGGATATGACGACAGTGACATCATCGATCGTAATATCTGGAGACCTCACATTATCCGATGATTCGATCGTATCAAGTGTTGGGACCAACAGAGTTTGAATTGAAACAAAAAGAATTAATCAGGTAATTGATTTTTATGGTGTTTTTGGTATGTTGTTCTCCATCCCGAACTCTGCAAATTTCGTTTCTACCGCTTCCTCTTTGCCGTTGGTTGATTCGTTTCAGATCGGAGATGGATAAGCATGGCACATATCCACTGTGATGGAAAGCTACAGAGAAGGACAAAGAAAGAGAGATTCCCTCAAGTAATTCAAGGGGAATCCGATCCCTTCTTTTCCAAAAGGCAGCTCACCAAAGCTTTTATAAAGCAGAATTCCATTTTGACCGTCGCCCTCGACGCTGCTGCTGCTTCTTCGCCGATGCCGCCCCGAAGGGCGATCGATGTCCGGTCCGGCGACCCGAACCCGCACAAATGGCGCGTCGCCCTCACCGAAGACGCCTTCGATTCTTTCATTGCTCACGGCGGGGACGCTGCCCGAAAGGTGTTCGGCGAAGGTTCGCTCTTCAGCCCGTTACTGTTCGGCAAGTTCTTCGACCCCGGCGATGCCTTCCCTCTGTGGGAGCTCGAGTCGGAACCGCTGCTCTCGGGCCTCCGGAGCACCTCCAAGACCTCCGTTGATTGGTTCGAAACGGACTCCGAGTACGTCCTGAAAGCTGATTTGCCAGGTACAAGCTCGTCACTCATCCAAATTATCTCACTCATGTTCGTGATGAGAATTCGCGTCCAAACAAATCCATGCCACGCACCAACCGGAGGCGGCAGCCGTTGCTTCTGCTTTGCAGGCTGAGATTCTTGTATTCCAATGGCAGTACTGATGCGTATCGTGATCATATATATACTTACCTTGGTTTAAACCACATAAACTGCAGACTGCAGCACTCTAGAGAAATCAGTTCATGATGGATTCTTTTCCTTGCAAGAATTCTACTTTGAAATGGAAATGATCAAGTTAGGCAGAACTTTAACACCATGCTTTCGGCAGCTGCAAGAAAGTGCGAGATAGAAGTATGTGGCCCCAAGGAGAAGGTGATGGACATCAGCGGGCTGTGGAGAGGGCGAGAGACGGATGCAAGAGACTGGAAGATCGGCCGCTGGTGGGAGCATGGATTCGTCCGCCGCCTGGAGCTGCCACAGGATGCAAATTGGAAGAAGATGGAAGCCTACATCACTGATGACATCTTACTGGAGATAAAGATCCCAAAGCAGACTTCTGAGAGCAGCAAGGTGCATGCTGTGCAAGCCAAGGAATCCGAATTCGTGTGAACCTACGGTGGCAATAAGTGTCATCTACAGTATATCGCGGCGCTCTACGGAAAATGATGTATATGATGATGCTATGATCATAGTATATAATTTATTATGGTATGATATTAATATTGTTCACGTAAGCTAAGCTCTTTTAAGAATTGACAGTAATCGATAATTTATCACTGCAAATGATAGTGGGGACTAACTGTTGAATTCTTCATGGCGTTGATGTTGCCAGGTTTTCAAGATAGCTTGGCCACTTTTTGGTTACCCGACTTTTATGTCATGTTTTTATTGGCCGTTTATTTTTTTGTCCCCTTCCTTTCTTATTTATAATAAATATATATATATATATTTATATATTAGAATATCTAACATATATTCAAATATATGGTGATCCTATGTAACATCCCATTAGTCCCACATCAGAAGTGGACACAGTTGACTCATCAGACTCGGGTCGTGACACCCTAATCCTAGATAGATAAACCAGGACTAGCTACCCCTCAAATTTGGTAGTGGAATTTGCCCAAACAGCAAACCTGTAGTATTTATTACAAGGACCTACCAGCCACGTAAAATATTAGCAAGATTCCATCTCCAATGCACTTTAATTCTCTTTCGGTTCTATCATGCACCGTGACTCATGGACCTTCCTTCTTAATTACTCAGATTAATCCAATCCAACTCAGTGGCCTAACCGCAGCATGTCACATACGAATAATTAAACGCGAAAAGATTGCAGCTCGGGTCTACTGCACATCATATCGAACTGTCACATCTTCCGTGCGAAGATGTGCACCACTAACGTGCTTCTAGAAATGCTCGCACAAGTACCCCTCGTACCCACATGTCTTTTGGTCTCATGTACACGTACCCTCGTGGGACCAATCCGCCGAACAATCACGAGAAGGTATAGCGGCGGGTTCCATGAAGGAGTGGAAGAAAATAATGGTTGAAATTTTAAAAACGTTTAAATTTCTTTCCTCGTGGGACCCGCATCGCAATACGTGTCCACGTCAGTGCTTATCTCACTACTAGGATCCGTCGAACGGACGGCTGAGAGGGGTCAAGCCAGTCAAAAGCGGCGAATAACGATCACCGCCCGTTGGTTCCCCATCGGACTGTGACACTCACGATGCCGGCGCGACAAATGACGTCAGACTCGAGACCCCGCGTGTCGAAGACGAGGTCCCCACGCGTCACGCGTGTCACGTGGGGGCAGCAGGGATTACGTGACGAGGCGTTAATGAGCACGCGGGCCGAGTCGCCGTCATCGATTCCGCACGTGGGCCTCGCGGTCCTGCGGACCGCGAGATCTCGATCGGGCGGCTCCATTTGGTGGAAGGGGAGGTCGGCCGGGGTGATGCCGGTAGGATGGTCAAGGACGCGGGACGTTGACTGCCGTCAGCAACGCCGTTAAGTCGGACGGGCGCTAGCTCTCCTATAAAGCCGCAGCTTTTGAGAAACTATCGCGCACCCCAAAAGAGAGATTTTTCCTCCGTTGTAAAGAGAGTGTGAAGAGAGGTAGGTGGAGAGCGGTGAAGGGAGTGGGAAGCGATACGGGGAGATTTAGAAGGTGAAATTGGCCATTTAAATGGTTATTTTTTATGGTTTTCCTGTGGATTGTGAGCAATTGATGGTTATGGCGGTTTCTGTCGAGTTATTGTCGTTTGATTGGATGTTTTTTCTGTATTTTACGGCGATTGGAGCTTGTTTACTGCGTAAACTATGGTTTTTGAGGAAGTTGATTCGGATGGAAGGTAAAGGGGAAAAGATTTCTTTTTGGTCTTTGCTTTTGCCTTTTGGAGTAAGTTCGGTGTCACTCATCTTTAGCTTGAGGCGTGGTTGCTTTGATCTTGGGGGTTATAACTTATAGGGGTTATACTTGAAGGAAGGTAGGACGTCCTGGGACCTGCGTCTTTTTCGCCTCCATTTCTTAGATGATGTCGTCAAATTAGAGGTTTTTTTCCTGACTAATAATGAGTTTCTGGCCATTAAAACGGAGCAAAAAGCTAAGATGTAGTGATTGAGTTATTAAGCTCATGTGTTTGTTCCTTCAAGCTTTCCCCTTTTGTGTGGGTTGGTTGTTTTCAGTTGGTTTGAAGATTCTAGGAGCTGGACGATAGGCCTTATATTAGATTAATGATTGCTGCTAACATGTGTGTGTCTCATCAAAATCTGCAGTGACAATAGAAGTTTTCCTAACTTCGGCATGGAAGTCTTTTAGTGAAGTTTGTGTTGGTCGTCCGGCTAACATAGGACTTAGGATCCAATTTGACCCTTGTGGCTTTACACAGAACAAGCACCACGTTAGAATCAAATCAGAGTGGAGTCGATAGCTGTCCCTAAGCTAGATGCACATCAGGAATATACTTAACAAGATCCTCCAACGCCGGAACAAGCAGAGCAGAGCACAGCAGATGTAATTTGAGAAGGTAACTAACGAGTGAATGCCAAAAGAAGAGGAGGAGGAGGAGGGGGAGGACAATGGTAAACCACCATCAATGGTCAACCCAGACAAAATGACATCTTCCATTGCATTGCCATTAGGGTTGTCAATTATCGATCACATATTGTGTGATCGGCTAACAAGTTAGCCTTTTGAGAGTTCCCCATCATCATTGTTGCAAGTCGTTCATTCCCGTTGCTAACATGATGCTTTATCCCATTATCACCAATCTTGTACTTTCCTTAACCCAAAAAGTGAAAAAGGAAAAAAAAAAATTCTTGTACATCAGTATTATTCTTCTTTATCTTCCTTCCCTGCTTTTCCACATGCTCTTTCTGTAAGCTTATCTGACATTTCTAATGGAACATCTAATAGTTTGGACAATGATTTGGTTTTTCACAAAGATATTGCTTTTTGCACCAACCAAATATTCCTATCTAGAGAAACATCTGTCTCTTATCTTATCCAGAATTAATTAAATTTCTTTATCACCTTACTATGTTGGTAATATATATAGTATTATTGGTGTAATTTCATTTTGCTGATGTAATAAATCACTACCATATATTACCTTCAGGCTTTTCTAAATGAGAGCTTACATAAAAAACATTTCATTAGTTGGTCATACTTGAATACCTTTAATGTGTGACGTCAAAGATTCTATTCTCTTTCGAGTGGGAAATTCTCCTGCAAGGGGAGAGCATTAACTGGTAATTCCTTAGTGGTACAGCCTTAGAAGAAATAGATACAGCCTTAACTGGTAATTCCTTAGTGGATAAGGGGAGAGCAATAACTTAAATGGTAATTCCTTAGTGGATAAGGGTAGAACAATAAGATTTTGAGGGAAGCTGGAAGAAAACACAAAAAAGTTAATTTTATATTTGCTATATGCAAAAGACCACATCTGCTGTAACACAATCATATAAAGTGACCTTTCTGGTGTTTACAGCCAATAATTTATTGATTCTTATGTGTAGTTACAACCTAAATTATGTCTTTTGGGGATGAGAATGATAGCAACTAAATTTGCTATTATAAGTTGTATGTTCCGTGTTCAAATCAGTGTTTTTAAAAGCGCTATTTGCCAAGGTCCCAAAACGTCCGAAGTACTAGGCGCTTGCCTAGACGTCTGTCCAAGTGAAACGAGATGCTCTTAAATATTTAATTATAAAAAAATATATAATATAATTGATAAATATAATTATATAAATAAAAATATGACATAAATTGAAAATATGTAAGTACTAAGTCATATTATTTATTTTCTAATAAAAAAAATATTAAAAGACCCAAAATAATAAAACTTTACATCAAATTCAATCATCAACATAATCAACATTGCCATTTTCAAACTTATCATCATGTTTTTCTTCCTCTTGTCTATCTTAATCAAAGTATGTTTCCTCCTCTTCAATAATGATAGGAGATGAATTTGAGGCTTTTGCGTTCATTTTTGCTTTCATCATCTATCTTGTTTATGTTTGTAATTCTCCAACACCTAAGATTCTTATCACATCTCGTCTTGTCACGCTATCATCTTCGAATACAAGCTCATCTTCGGCATCTTACAAATTTGCACTAATATCCCTCACCAGCCACTCATTTGAATTATCAACGTCTTGTAATAAGATTAGATCGATATTATTTTGCAAATCATGATGGGCCCTTCAAGGCTTGATTATACTTTATATAAACTAGATTATGTAATCGTTGATGCTCTAACTGATTTCTTCTCTTTGTATGAATCTGTCATGTTATATGAATAAAAAATATATTAATACATCCATCTAAAAAAAAAAAAAAGATTAATTAAATTAAAAATATTTTATGATCTTTATATGCTTAAAGACAAGGTCTGCAATTTCATATCGTACTGGAGTTTTGACAATCGCTCGGTACGGTACGAAACTGTGTACCGAGCGGTATACCGCTCGGTATATATATATATATATATATATATAACTCGGTGACGTCGCCGAAGCGACATTGCCTCTCTCTTCTCCCAAGCGGGGCGG